CACTTATACCTTCGAGATTCCATGTACAGGAGCTCCACAGGATCAACCAGTGAAACGGGTTGAGGCATCTACGGGGAAGCAAATCAGCCATCTGACGTTCAAGGACTGGAAGCTTGAATCGGCCAAGGTCTGCGAATTAGAGGTAAGTCTGCAAGAGGCCACATCTCTGGTAAGTGAAATTGAAGAGAGAGTGCAGGGCAAAATCTCAGAGCTGAAGTCGGAGGCTGGGCAGAAAGACGATGCGTCTTCAGGGGAAGGCCGGGGAGATGAGCTTCGCGATCTGCAGCTTCGCATGCAAAAGGCACAGCATTGCCTCACCGAAGGCTTGCAGGAGCGCGCTGTAGAGGCAAGACTCCTTTTGCTGGCTTTTCTTGGCAGTGAGAGCCTCTTCTGATTACGTCTGATGTTCTTGTTTCTGGTTAAGACTGGGCAAACGAAACCAAGTATATAGGGCTCGCTATAAGTGCATGAAAAGAAGCAACTGGTACCTATTTGTGAAGAGGATGCCTTCATGACTCCAGGAACGTCCTCTTCCTGGGTCCTCCGGGCACCGCGAAGAGCCTCCTGGCTCGGCGCATGGCGCGCGTTTGTGGTGGCCAGTACTTTGAGCGTCTCCTGACACGCTTCTCCGCCCACCGTCTCTGTTGGAACAAGAATTTCCCAAACACTGACTAGGCCCCGCCGCATCTTTCTACAATTCTACAACTACGGAAGTAAAATCGGCCCCAATGACGTTGCAATTACATTGATTGGTTTGTTGATGTGCGAGACTTGCATGGATAGCCAGACTCATAAACCTAACGAAAAGAACAACTTTGACTGCATAATCGAGTCTATGGTGCAACATGCATGACTGTGAGACAAAAAATGCAACAATAAAGCAAAATGGCTACAACTTCCCAGCTAAGGTACCTGAGGAAGTCTTTGGACCGTTGTCCTTGAAAGCCTTGGAGAATGACAAGCTGAAGCGCAACGTGGAAGGCTTTCTGCCCGATGCGGATGTGGCCTTTCTCGACGAGGCGGCTCTTGATTTGTTGCCATGTGTCACGTGTGTCGAAGCATAGTGTCGTTGCAGCATGGTTCTCTTTTTTCTCAAACCCCTCCTCCTGCTGTTTTGAACATTACGAATGCAAGTTCCACGGCGCTTGTTTTGTGGGGGGCTACAGCGATTGCTACTACCGTTGCTTTTGCAATACCAAGCCGAGCCTTCATCTCACGGAAGCATTGTGGTCCGTATTGTGTCGTTGTCAGGTGTTCAAGGCGAACTCTGCGATCTTGAACTGCCTGCTGACTTTGTTGAATGAGCGGGTGTTCGATAATGGTGACACGCGAATCGAGGTGCCACTGAAGTGTGCCTGATCCTTGAGCAGTCCTTCTGGTCTTTGCTCATAAACTAAGCGGGTCTTGGTCCTGTACCAAGATACCAGTATTTCTGAACTGTGGAGACCTAGGTGTTGTTGCGGCCTCCAATGAGCTGTTCGAGGGAGATGAGCTGGCAGCTCTGCACGACCGCTTCCTCCTGAGCCTCTCATGCCTGGCAGGGAGTTGACTAAGGATTTCGTATCTTAGTCTTTCTATACTTCCCATGAAGCCTGCAGACTTCCACAAATCCACCCAGGAGACACCTGGTCTCTCCTATGACGCGTGGAGCAGCAGCTGCCTTCCTCCAGGACTTACTGGCAGGCCCTTCAGTGCCACTTGGGCGAGGAAAGACCCCAAACATGTTCGATGTTTTGCTGAAGCATGGATTATCCTATTATCCTATGCCTTGTTTGCAGCCAGGAAGCCTTCACGCCAGCAAACCGCGCACGATGTCAGTCTAGGCCCAACGAGCCTTTTGACCTCGACACCGACAGCGAGGAAGCAATCCTCACCGAGGAGCATATCAAAATTGCCCAAAGACTGGCCAGTGAAGTTGCTTTTCCGGATGACTTGCAGGAGCTTCCCGGCTGATTCAGGGGCTTTTTCAAGATCTAGGATTCGTGTACAGGTACCTCGACACGTCAACAAGAGTGTACTGCAATGAGGAACTGAAGCGTGATCCTCTGAGTAGCCCCATCTATCAAAAAAGATAAGAGATATGGCATTCCTTGTTATTCTCTCGGTATGAGTCTAGTTTAAGATACGTCCAAAGCTTCCCACCCAAAACCTCCCATGCCTGGTGGGGTAGAAGATGCAGTTGAGAGGCTTAAAGGACGGGTCATGACGGGTCATGTGCTGTTCCTTAGCAAGCTGCCCCCTCTCACGATCTGATGTGGCGAGTTCCTCGGCTCAGCCCAAACCCCTCAAAGCCTGATGCCCAGGTCGCAAGCCGCCACAAGCCCTGATTCCTAAACCCACCAAGCAAGGATTATGATCGACCTTCGGGATTTCATGGCCGAGAACGACTGTGTGATCTCGGATCGCAGGCTGGCAAAGGCCGCTCTGCTCATCCGTCTTGCAGCCTGCACTGCCGGTGCTACGACAGTGCCTCTCGGAATCCTTTGGTCCCTGGCTTAGGGTTTAGAGTCTACAGGATTCCGGGAGTCTGAGTTCCCAAAAGCCCTCAAGCCTAGCAAGTGCATCCTGAACCCCTAGAAAGCAACGGACATGCATCCTAAACCCTGCAACCCAAGATGATACATCCGAACTCAGAGAGCGAACTGCCTAGCTACCGAAGTCCAGCGCAACGAAGGTCGGAGTCGGATCTCATGCTGCTGCAGCACCCGGTCCGCTTAAGCTTTGGGTTTGAAGTGCATGCTTTGGGGTGCAAGGATTCGTGACGGGGGATGTGCTGCAGCCTTTCAGTGCTGACACTTCAAACAAACTTGGTCTGAACAATTGGTAGTTTTAAGATTTTAAGCATCATGACCGATGCAGCAAGTATGGATCCATTGAAACTTGGGAGCATGCTGTTGCTGCTGCGGTTGAACATAAGGTATATGTTCTGGGAGAAGGACAAAGACCAGATCGATGCCATCAAGCGCTTTTTGCTGGAGCGCATGAAGGGCCGGCGTACTGCAGGCTCCAGTGCGACCGATCTCGATGCCATGACGCACATGTTGACCATGGTCAAATTCAAGATGGGCCCTGCCATGCGCATGCCTCAGAGCCCGCAGTTTGCCCAAGCCGGGCAGGCAGCAACAACCTTGGTACAGGCCACGATTGACTGCTACCGCTCCGAGACACAGTCTCAGCGGCGGAGAAGTCTCGAGTCTGACGCTTCCGGCAGCAATGCAGCGAAGGACTTTCGTAACTTCTGGGTGGACGAGGGAGATTCGCTGTCGGTTGAGGGTGAAGATAGCAAGCCCATGGACCTGAATGCATTGGAGGCTCTCTTGCAGTCCGCTTGGGAGCTCGACCTTGCCTTGCAGTTGTCGGAGGAGAGAAGGAAAGCCTCCTTGGCCATCCTAATCGGAGGGCCGGAGGTGGTCATGGCGAAGTGAGACAGCCCGAATGCTTCCAGCCTTCACTACGAATGCCATTATATAAAAATTATACATAAATACCGATAATTAAGAAGTTGACTATTGAGAGTTCTGTCTATAAGATGGCGTAGTGCAATATCATGAGTCTTGGGCCTGCGTTACCGTGCAGAGAGAGGTGCTCTGCTTATGAAAGCAATTTGCTTTCTTTTGGCGGCGCAAAGGCACGCGCCGCTGCACTATCGTAGACTAGTCGAAGCAGATGCTGCTTCATCGCATGTCGTCCCGAGGTACAGTTAAAGAGCATAACCTGCCGACAAAAGCTTCGAGCATTTGCGAGATGGTTTGCATGAGAGCATAGGTAGTCGAGACTCGACACACTCCTATACCCCATGCTTTTCGCAGTTTCCTTGTTCTTGTACGGATCCGCCAAAGCTAACAACCATAAAGAATGACACTCACTAAGTTCCTGTGCGCGAGCTTTTCGAAGTTTGACACGCGACAATGGCAGTTACCTTTTGCGGAAGGTTACTTGATCGGAACACCTGTAGACTTGCCAAGGTCATACCGTCCAGTCGCATACCGAACTGCGGTGCTGTTCTTCGGCATCGACACTTTTTTGCAAAGTAAGAACACGCAATTGGGGGGGGTGTGTATGGGGGTGTTGGGGATTGGGGTAGGTTCTACATAGGTCTACGGAGTTTAGGGTTTCAGTGGAAGGGTTAGGGAGGAAGGGGAGGGGCAGCAAGCAAGAAATGTCATTATTCTCGGATTTCTTCAATGCTTTCATTCCGCGTAGGCCTGAACTCCAGGCCGTGAGGAGGGAGTAGTTTATGTTGCATCTTCCTGCCTTGCAGGTAGGGTGCACTCGAACAATCGGCATCAGAAAGACAGCATCATCCTTTGTAATGAATGTAATTACCGAACTCAAGCTAAATGAAGACTATCGGTTTTCATGATTGGCCTGGAACTTAGGCCTGGACGCTCATTTCCAAGCCTCATGGAAGCTCCAGGCTTCTGCAATGAGAAGCACATGCACGGAAATCACCTACCCCTTCTGCAGACTGGGATGGAGCCCTGCAGCTGATGGATCCGCCAAAGTAGGATCCAATGCTTTTGAGTCTAACCGCCCTCAGGTCGAGCTCGCAAACATCGACCCCATGTACCAGTACAGCCTGCAGTGGTCGTGGGCCTCAGCGCTCCATGAGTCAAAAAGTCACACGACTAGG